TTCAGATTAGAATCGTCAATGCATATATCATTTTTGCTATTATTATATGTACTAATCTATATTTGTATACAAATATTGTAATGTGTTTGAAAAAAATAATTTAAGTTTATATGAATGTCCGTAGCAATGTATTAAAGTATTTGTGGAAATAATTTTTCTTTAGATAACTAAATTACCTGATACTGCTTCTAAGCATTTTATGAAAACTTCCATGTTTCTTTCACATGTTGCCTCATTTAAGTAAAAATAAGTTCTAGCACTACTGACTTTGTATCTACGATCAGCAAAAGACTTATCAACGTGGTACTGAGGCATTGTGCCTTCCTCCTTAAAATCACCAGCACTGGACACCGAAGATCTTTAATATATTTAATTTTATATTAATTTGATTAGAAAATTGTTTAACATTTAAATTTTAAGTGAAATACTCACTCAACTTCACGTTTTTCAGCTTCTTCTTGCGACAGATCTTCTTCAACAGAATAATCGAGAATTGGTTTCACACCAAATGATCGTAATCTAAGGAGAATCAGAGAAGGAGTTTTGAACAATTAGTCTTTTAAATTTTAATTTGTATTAGTTTATATTAATATATATATATTATATTAATGCCATTAGTATTTAGTTAAGTTTTAATACTTGAATTTTTAAAACATAAAAACCTAAATATGTTAAGCTAAGAGTAAGGATTGGGTTTAAGAATATGAAGTTATATGAAGAGACTAATAAAAGCTCGCTTAGTTGGTAATGTGGGATAAATTTTTGACAAATGAATAAATTTAAGCTGATTTGAGGATGTATGTTATTGGCGATATTAGATTTAAATTTTCAGAGCAACAAGTCAAAATGAAATGAAAAAAAAAATGCAAATATAATGGCAAAGAGTCGATGTTAATTTCACCCGATTGCAGAAAGATATGCCGTTTGCCATTTTTTACGGATTCTGGCATTACCTTAGAAGAGAAGTATTTAAAGAGTGCAAATAGCATATGAAGAGAATGTAGCATCGCTTGTGAACTGGGGGTCGAGTATCACGGTTGTATGGCGAATTTTAAGCAATAACTTTAGATACGCGAAGAAATCAGCACGATGGAATCATAGAATTTTAACTGAAAATTGTTCAGTCAATTTTGTTTTCTTTGAAAATTCGAAAATAGAGAGTCCAGCACTTCTGATGAAATTTTAACAGGTTATGAAGTTTGTTTTTACAAGTACGATTCAAAACAATGCAACAGTTGTTGGTATAGAGCCAAGAAGGTGCTAATCTACACGTTAAAGTCAAACAACATAAATCAGTAATAGAAGAAATTATGTCAATTAGAAAAAATTCTTCCAGCAGCATATTCTTCGGACCTAAGAAATTAATGGAAATTTTATAAAAAAAAATAAAAAAAAATGAAAAAGATTAGTCATGAAATAAAAATCGGTTTTGCCAATTTTTTGTAGTCAACTAAGCGAAGTTTTGTTAGTGCCCTCATAAATGCAAAATTTGTGTGCAAATTATGATCAATTTAGTTATTGTACATAAATTAGCCTTGACAACAAGTAACAGATATTTTTGGATAGTCTATGAAATAATATTTACACAACGTTATGTGCTATGAGCTACGATGAATGGACATCATCATTACACACACTCATGATGTTTATTGAACTAATTTTTATAAATCATACAAATTCATTTCATTCAATTATTCTAAAGGCTGATTGTATTAAACACATTTACTTCTAAAATTACCGAATAAATCTATAAAAACTTGTTATTTGTTTTTGCAAATAATAATATAAATTATTAATTAGTTTTTTATTGATTGTAATTTATGGATTGTATTTATACATTAATCTTTGAAATCTAAAAGCATGCCATGCATTATTTAAGGTTTTTCATAAAAAATATACGAGAAACAGATAAAAAGAAACCTTTCTAATTTAGGAACAATCATATGTCGATCCTCTCCGGCAACGAAATATCCATAGCAGACTTCAACAAAAGTTCGACAAGTTTGCTACTCAGAATTCGACAAGTTTCATAAGCTATTTGATTTGTTAACATATTTAAATGCATTTGCAAAAGGAAACGATATTCGCCATCAATAAAATTATAAAAGAAGCAACAAATATTTTTGGTTTAAACTAATATAATAAGCAAAAATAAAAACAAATTTTATTAAAAAATTTTTAAATTAAAATTACCTTTCAAGGGTTGGAATTATTTTGACTTGATCTTCGCCGGCAACAAAGTGTCCGTAGAACGTTGCTTTCATGAGCAGTGTAAATAATTTCGTACCCAATACTGTTTTTGCCAGTTTCATGAGCTGTGAAAATATTTAGTATAACCTTTAAAATAAATATTTCTCAATATTTGCAATATTTAACCAAACCAAAATCAAAATGAATTCGCTATGAGTGATTGAATAAATAAAGATAAAATGTATGATTTCGGTCTTAATCTCATTGTCTCCTGATCTTGAGAAATTTTTTGATCCACATTAATATTTACATATATTTTTTTGCTGTCACATAATCAATCCCACAACAATAACAAAATTTTTTAGAACATTTATATCTAAGATATTGAGTACATTCAAAATGCAAAAAAAAGTTATAAAAATCACCATATGCGCATGAAAACGTGCGGAAAACCAGCGGTTCCGACAGTGTCGCATGAAACGTTTTTGCAGAATTGACGTAGACGAATCTCTAAAATAAATAATTTCCAAATTCTATTGTTTTAAGCTAAATTCAGCAAATATCAAAACGAGGGGGAAGGCAAAAATCTTAAAAGTCAATATTGAAATACAATGTATACACTTTATCACACTATATGCGACAATTTCTGACGTATGGAATTTGTCAGGCTTATAGATAGCAAAAAGAAATAACCTTTTAAATATACACAAAAAAGAAGAGACAAAAATATGGTATGATAAAATAGGGTCTTGAAAAATGGTAGACTTAGAATGGCGTAAAATTTTAACATATATATTTGTCCCAAGCTTAAAAAATTACATTCATTTTAATATGACGACAATATGTTATATTATGTCACGTCCGTTATCGCTGTATGTCTATGGTTCTTCGAGGACTTGAAAATCTAAGAACCACAGTTTACAGTTTTAACGTACGTAAATACGTAAAAGCATTCGTCTCGGATGAGACACTAAAATTTATATACGATTACTATATCGGTTATTCTCAAAAAGTGGACATAGGAGTTAAAGGCACACAATTTGCCGTTATAAAAAAAAAAACTCGAATTCGAAAAGTTATAAAGAAAGTAATGTGCGTAAATGAATTTCGCATTCGCAAATATGTTTCATCCACATAAAATGTGATATCTTCAATCACTTCCTTATCGAATCCACATTCTCCGCATCCTTAATATAACTAAAAAAGTTCAAAGATCTAGCACATTTTTAGTTATTTAAAACATATTTTAATATATAAAAATTTTCCAAATTGTGAATATACCTACACTAATAATCACACTTAATTTTAAAAACTCCTTAAGACGAACTTCGCCTAAAATAAACAATTTTCTTTATGTGATTTATATATGTGAAGTGTACTGCAGTTCTAAATATTTTTAGTTTTCTTTCCACCGTTTTTTCTGTCACTACTATTTGTTTTCTCCTTATTGTTTGCGAATTTGAGAACATTAAAAGAAACTATATCAAAATTAACAACATTGGATTACCCAAGTTATTAAGGCTCAAAGATTTTAGACTTTTACTCTTACACGATATTGATATATTTGTGTACATTTATATCCGCATTTTAGTATTGTTATTCTTAATCGCTTCCTGATATTGAAACTTCTTTACATCCTTATCTGCATTCACAATCGCAAGTCTAGTATCCGTTATTCCCTACATTATTCAATCAATTTATTTATATTATCGGCTTGTACATTTTTTCCCATGTAAGATCTTTTGTTTATTTGTTTTTTAATAATTTCATCATTTTTAGTGTTAGAGATAATATGCATCTATTTGCTTTCTGTAAATCATTTAAATCATTTTTTATTTTATAAATATATAATTTTTTATCCATGTATAAAAAATTTAGTGATAAATGTCTTTACAGAATATGGATCCGCTCCAAAATGAAATGAAGAAATATTCTTCAACTGTTGAAAATTTCAAAATGCATTTTCGAAACAAATTTAAAAAAATTTGAATAGATCTCAATTATTTTAATAATAGCGTGCAGAAGATATCGAGAAAACTCAAAGCGAGATATAAAGATTTGTACTCAAATTTGGATTTAAGGTGGAAATAAATTTCACGAATATGGGAGGAAAGTCAATCGATCAGAAATATAAAACAAGAATCTTTTCACCACAAAATTGAAAAAGAAGCAAAAGGTGGAGAAAACTTAAGAGAGCCGTAACAAGAAAGAGGATTGCCTAAAATATGAATTTTGGGGCCGATTCACGTTAAGTTAATACTAGGACTAGCACTCAAAAAACTGTTGTTTATTATTTTGACCGATTATGCATAGTTTCTACTTACAAAATAAAATATATGATTGTTCAGAATATAATTCAGTTTTTTTTTTATGAAAATGATATGAATTATGAATTAGGTATTGCCCATTCTAATCCAATATCTTTTGCCAATATTGTGACAGTATATTCAGTTAGTCCAATTCGAAATTGATTATTGTGTTGTCCGATAAAAAGTTAAAAACACGATTTCGTTGAAATCTAACCAAATAGATGATATCACTTTTTTGGATGAATATCGACTTTTAAAGTACATTAAGTCGGTTCATCCTTTTTACTTTATTATCTTTTGAGATTAACATCTCTACAGATGATACGTTTCAAAAATGAATAATTTTACTGATGTTTAAGAAGCAAATCACTTACGTTAACAGAACGACACAAATATTTCTTCGGTAAGATCATGAGGACCTCATATGTCGAGCTTCGACATTAGACTTAAGTACTTTAAATGATAATGAACGGTTGAAATTGATAACTTTCAAATCGGAGCGATCTCACGAGTTGTCAACTGCACTTCCAGAACATGGAAGGCACAACAGTTTGGCAATGCCCTCCTGTCAATACATATTTTCCATACACACCGGAAAACTTTTTTTCTTTCTTTAACAGCATTTTTAATTTTTCGATAGCAAAAAGTAAAATATATCGAAAATGCTGGATTTTACTAACCATATTTGAAAGGGCACCAACCAAAAAATACTGCGTAAAAAAAATCAAAAGTTTTCCCAAGCAAGACAACGTAAAATTTTTGAATATATATATATTCATGTAGCACGTTATTTATCTCTACTATGTCAGTCAGCTTGCATTTAACTATAACTTCATAGCTGTCCTCGTTTTAACAATTTCCAAATTCTACAAACGCTTTTGATCTGTTATTGCCTTACTAAAGATATTTAATATAGAGATTTTACATCCTTCGTATAATGGACTCTATAAAATAAAACTGAGGTTACTATTTGAATGAGCTTTATTTTGTTCAAATGTAAACAAACATTAAGGACACAAATTATTTCGAACAATGTTGCTGTTTATTGAGTGACTTAACTTATGCTTAAGCCACTTCGGCGACTTAAGGCTTATTAACTGTGATTTCGACTCCTAATGTGCTATCTAAAAAGAATAGAACAATAATGAGATGGTAATAGCGAGAGTGTTGGTAATTGCTATAGAAAATCCAAAAGGCAATATAAGAGCATTTAGGCAGTGTACATAAAATCAAGCTTTATTTAATTAGCTTAGCTTAGCTATTATTTAGCTTGATTAATAATAGTAGTATTATTAAATACTACTACTTTCCTTTCGATACCAACTAGTTTTTTGTTGGAAATTTGTTTCGATATTTAAATGGAAATGGAAGAAAAGCACTTAGGAAAGAGAAACAATTGCTGTGAACTTTTTATATTATATAAATGTTTATTATAAATTTAAAACTAACAGATCACTAACAATCATACAGAATAATCTTTTGAATTATTTACAAAAGTATACCTGTTTTTCATTTTCATTTTCAAATTTAAATACAAATACAAAAATATATAATTTAATAAATAACTTAATAACAATACTGAGTAGTGCTTTAAAACCTATCAAAATAAATGCATTGACTGTGAACATACCAAGGACAGGCTAAACATAGGATTGGATATTAACTAGAGGGACGTTGTGAAATTTGATGTTAATTTGTTTTGTTTTAAAGCGAATCAAAATGCGTAAAAATATTTTGTTTTTAATAATAATAATGCTTACAATCAGTAATTCAAATAAAATTCCATTTGCCAAAATATTAGGTTGTAATTTTAGTTCGTTAATATTTATGAGAAAAATTAATAGAACAAATAATTAGTAAAGAATTCATATTTTACAGTTAGGCAATACTAATATAATTTTAGTAAATAAATAATTTAAATAATAAATATAAATAAGTATAAATAATATAAATAATCCCATAATAAATAAGATCAGGAAATAAAATGTTATAAAACATAAAACCTATGGTTGCCCCACGATATTCACTCTATGAAATCACTTTTGAAATAATATTTTCTCATATGCTAGTTATGTCAAAATGGAATGTCAAAATGGTATGTCAAATTCTGACCTAAAGTTTGTATGCATTAGTGAGAAAGAGCCAAAGTGTAACAAGTGTAGGCAACGCATTTTCACCAACCAAACAATAGTAGGACATGAAGAGCTAACTTAAACGAAATGCAAACAAAAGTCCTCGGTTGCGAGTAGCTTGTTGTTGTTGTTGTGATTTGAGTTAGTGCTATTGCGCTCTTTTACTCTTTTGTGGCTGGGGGGCTTATCCCTGCCGCACGCTAAACTTTAACTATACTAGAATCATTAGCTAGTGTAATGTAAAATAATTTATATATATGATATAATGAATTATACAATATATTTTATTATTTCTAGAAAAGCACAAACGATATGCCTCCCGTTTTGAGGGCTGTTACTCCTGATACAATATATATATTACAATATATTGCTGCCGCAAAACAGACATCTTTGCGATCACAACTAAATGAGTTTTCATTCTTTATTGTACTCAGTTTCTATTTTGCAATCATTTTATTGTTGTTCAGAATTACTTGGCAAATAAATCAAAAAAATCGGCAGATTATAATCATATAAAATGTTAGTTGCTTTTGTTTTGCTGAACAATAAAATCACAATTCCAATATTTTAAATAGCGCCATGAGCAACAATTAGTGAAAAATTAAATGTTCTAAATTAGCTGGCACCGCAATAGGGAATGTACTTACACAGTTTTTTATATGATTTGCAACATAAGATTGTATTGCATTAAATTCATAATTTTTCAAATTTTTCAAATAGATTTTTAATCTATGAGTTAGAATCTTAAAATAGTATCAGAAATGCATATCCAATGTATGATACGAACCATCTATCAGTGAGGCTGATTAAATTTTCAGACCGCCTCTAAGGCCTGGGCCAGCATTACAGCCACGTCGTCTAATGCAATACCATAAGACAAAATTTTATAGGTTGAACCAGTGGGGAGAGAGATTGTGTAGTGTACAAAAAATAATGTCGAAGTTTTTGAAATTTCTAAATCATATCTCTTGCTTACTACTGTCAATAATTGAAGTAAATTAAAGGCTAACGATTTACATTTTTTCAAATAAAAAATCATCGCGAGCTGTGTTTCGTATCCGAAAGTGAAATGCAACCGAATAAACTTTTTATAATCATATAATAAATATGATTAAATGTCTGCTACACCTAACTACACAAATCAATAACTATGAAATATGTACACGCAAAGAGAAGAGCATGGAATTCCCATAATAAAGAAGAAATAGGTTAGAACTCTTACAAAAATTTTCTAAAATAACGGAAGACAAAGTTAAGAACTGCACAAAAGAACTGTCACAAACAGCTAATTTTTATTTTGTTGGATAGCGAACCAGCACGGTGAAAGACGAAAGTTTAGTTTGTGGTAGACAAAAAGGATTGAGGGCTTTAACAGTGACTGTATCCAGGTCGACTAAGCTGGATGCATTTCATGTTGCACAGCTATAATACTAAAAAAACAGCTATATCTACTTATGTTAGATGAATACGTTATTTGAAGACCGCTTCACGCTATTTTAAACTCCATTCAAATATATACTAGCCCTGTTAATATTACCTTTGGTGACCGACATGAAAAAATATGGGTCGCAATTTCTACATCATACATTTTTCCACAATTTTTCTTTATGTCTGCACAACTCTTACAGTTGCGTGAAAACAAATTGTCACTTGGGCTTACATATCCCAATTACACAAGCAACCAGCTGCTTTTAATGGTAACAAGTTAAAAATCGATGCGGTTGAATGTATACATTGATTCCTCTATTATATTAAATTCAATTTGAATTAAACTGCTTATTGGATTCTTTCGTCATTACAGAAGAGTAGTCACACATTTCTACAAAGGTAAAATCTGCGAAAAGCGAAGCACTATATATCCATTGTTAGGTTACCTCTGTAATCGTATAATCTTTCACAAAATTCATTTCTTCCGTTACTACTGGTTTCTTATTACAATTCTCTTTAAGATTTTACAATGCAAGTCACTTCCTTCAACATGTGCATATTGTTTATATATGTTCCATAATCATTTTCTATGAAATAAACCATACACTTAAAGAAAATGAAGGCACTATATCTGCCGTATACAATGAAATTGAACGAAATTGATAATTATATCAAATGAACTTTATGAATTACTAACACTTTTATCAATCAATGGAAAGATGAATATTAAATGTGAAGAGGTTTAGTTTATATTAGTGACTGCCAGATTATTCAATATATCAATTAATCATAGTTCGTATAAATAGAATAATTATTTATACTCGGTCCGAAACTAAACAACACAATTCTAGTGAGAATATAAAGAGGAGCAGCTTCATTTAATCAAATTTATTAATCGATGCAAAATTCGTATACAGTCAAACTTCCAAAACTCGAAGTACCATTTTGTAAAGAAAAGGTTTGATTTATGAGACTTCGAGTCAAAAAATCTTTTTGCAATTGTTCGTAATTTGATCTCAAAACCCTGTTGCACTCTATTTAGTTCGAGTTTTAGAAAATTCGGATTATGGAAGTTTCAGGTTCGTTCAGGTTTTTGCTCTTGCAAAAATATGCTTTTTTTTCGGTTCAGTTCGCAGTAAATTTTTTTTTTTGTGAATTTTATGTTACACTCTTGCAGATTTTACTTAATAAAAATAACTACTTTTTTATATAACATTTTTATATAAATATATATATATACTTGGCAGTTCTGCCCCATGCGAGCTTTACTCCCCAACCGCGGTTATATTCGTACGTACTTTTTCATATTAAACAATATGATACTTCTAAAACAGATATAAAATTTTTATCTAGTTTTAAGGTTCTTAAAGAAATTTGATATTTCTTCCAAAAAAAAGTTAAAAGCAAAGTTAAAAGTACATACATAATGTTGAATATGAAAGAGTACGTATAAATATAACGTCTGTCCTTCTGCATACTACGCCGACATTAAACCTTAGCAATTAATTTTAATTTTTTGGATAAAATTCAAATAAAATAAAAATGAGATGACATTACATAATGACATGATGAAGATAAAACAAAAATGACCCGGTACATATTTTTTTATAATAAAAATATATAAAAAAAATATTTTAAAACTATTTTTGAACTTCTTACTCTCATTAACCGGGACATATTTTGTGTATATTTCAAAATTATATTTTTAGTTACTAAGTGTATTAAAAAAATTGTGTTGATTACGCCTTATACCATAACTTTGACTCCTCGGTATATTATATATACATATTTACATAGTTTGGTTCAAATCTTAAATCAAATAGCTTTGGGAAAAAAAAACGATTAAAATTTATATGACAAAGTTTTACATTCTATATGTGTAAGATACGATTAATATTATATATTAGCATTTGATTTGAAACCAATAGATTTAATTTGATATTAAGATTAAAAAACTATCTCTCTTAATAATATTTTATTATTGTGCATGCAAATAACGACCACTATCTTAGTACTTTTATAATTATAAATTATTAATAATCACTTATTAAACTTGGCATAATTTTAGCTTTTAAATAAAATCAATCCCCATGCTTATCGAATCAATATAGTTAACTAGAATGGAAGTAATGATCATTCGGAAGTACACTTAAAGTCCAAACTCTTCATTTATAAAAAAAACGTATTTAAACTTATTCTGTAAAGTTTACCACTTACTTTTATATTTAAATAAAAATTAAATAAAGTTAAAGGTATTTAAAAACTATTGCTTACCTTTAAGTTGTGCTCCACTATCTTCTCGCTAGTACAAATCGTGTAAACGATATATGCTCTTATCAGCTCCCATGTCGTTTTGCTCTTGAATGCCGCGTTAGGATCATTAAAACCGACATCCAATGGATCCCGTTGAACATTTGGAGGAATGCTTGGCTGAAGAGTCTTGCTATCTTTTTTGATCGTGGGTGTCGCGAAGTGAGTTTTGCGTGAAGAATCAATATGTAAGTTTTGAGTTTGTACATACTGCGGAACAATCACGTTTTTTAATAAACTTTGATTAGGAGTCAATAAATGGAACTGGAGACATAATTGACTTTTTGAACTTATAAATCCTAAAATACTTTCGTTATGTACATTTTTGCAACTAGAGTTGTCGGTGTTGAAGTCATTTGTCTGACATATTAGGCGAACACATCCAGGAGTGTTCCAATTGATCACTGATACTTCGTAATGTGTCCTCCTACTATAATCCTTGCGATAATTAACTAAATTTTTTATTGTACGTTGAGCACAAATGGAACGCAAAAACGCCATTACACAAAGCAAGTACACCCGCAAACACTTTACAAAGTCTCAGATGGATTTTAAAAATTCTAAAAAATTTATATGCAATTTGTTTTTTGTATTCTTTGTATAAAAATAACTTAATCTAAACAATTCGACATTATACCGAATAAGTAAGCGAAAAAAAGTAGTTGACACTTCAAGGATTATTTTATATATACGTTAATGCTCGGGAATACGTCGAATTGCAGAAACTGCGATTGGGGAAATAAGTTGCAGAGCCAAAAAACTGAAAGGCATTTCTTTGCGGCGAACTCTAAATAAATCGTTAAAATTCTCTCTATTCAATTTTCATTCGCATTTAAAGTTCGAAAGCCCTGTGAGCTTATTTTGGGCAAAAAAGCGCGGCGAAAAAATTCAACTTTTGCTGGGAAAAAGGTTTTATGCATGGCACAATATAATGTATTAATTAAAATAATTAAAATTTACTCGGAAGAATGCACGTGCAATATTAATATTTATGAATGTGACGATTTCAACTTTTTTCAACATTTTTTATAATTCATAAATCAAGAATAGAGAATTTAAATTAAATTCCAAACATTTAACAGTTTTTGCTGGGCAGAATTATAATACAGACTAATGTTAATTATACAAACAGTAAACCTTCCTTTCATTAGCGTTACAATAAGTATAATTAACAACAAATTTTAATCGGCGTCACGAGTTGTGAATTAGCTCCTCGCACCTCACAGATTTTTAATTAAAAGCCAATAAATAATATGACTAGAACAGTCATCTCGATCAACGCAGATATGCTTCTAGGCAGCAGTTAGCTTAAAGGTGAATTAATGATGCAAAACAGCTCAGAAAGCCAAAACTCACACGAAACGGCATCATCTCGTATTTTATATGGACGTGGAGCAGTGCATTCAATCTTGGATAATGTCTTCCGCTTTAATAAGATATTTTTTAAATGAGAATAGGATAAAGCACTCTATTACGTATTGCAAAAGAAATAAAAAATACCGAACTTCTTTCTTTACAAGTTTTCTGCGATGTTCTACAATATGTCGAGCAAAGCTTAATAATGGCCCTGTCAAGTATTAAAGTTGAGGTCTCAGAGCAGAATCCACTATTTAAACGAAATCTGTGCAAAACCAATTCAATTAAAGACTATAACTCTCAGTTGAATTTGCTACACATATTTCAAATTTCCAACCATGCAAGCACCCTGTAACGGAGCGAATATTTAGGTATACAACCTTATATAAAATTTGCCGGAATTTTGTTTTTGTATTTGCTCTTTTCAATTTTTTCGTTTTCTCAACTCAAAAACGAAATTATATAACTAATTGCACGTCCTTTAATTACGTTTCTAGCTGCGAACGTAATTTAATAATCAATTTTTAACAAAATCCTTAATCGATATCAATCTAAGCATCCTGGTTTTGTAAATATCTAAATGGTGTCTGCGATTGTTATTCTCATTGCAAAATTTGGCACTTATTCGTTTAGACGTTCTTTTCGTTGAAACAAAACCGCACGAACTTCAAGAAATTTTTCCCCCAAACTTGTTTTTATTTAACGAAAATTATCGCGTATTTGACGCATTACGATATTCAGGCAATAAAAACCATTAGCAAACTGTAAAAAACCATATTAAACACATTTCGTAACGAGGGTATATATTAAATAAAAAAAAAATTAATTGCAAATTATTCACTTCCAAACTCAACACACAATTCAAACCTCACAGCAACGAGACGAAAGACTGACTGATTCAAATTTATCCAAAGTTTGGGTATCTTAAATTGTTTTCACAGTGGGACAAATCTGATTATCCTACTACACATTAAAACTATACATAATATATACTGTATCTATCAACCTTTCTTTTTGTAAATAGACTTATAGACCTATAGTCTGTTTCATTATCAAAAAAATACGAAAGTCACAAATTGTTTCGTGAATTTAGCGAAGTTGCATATTTGAACACATTTTGAATTTACACAACACACAATTTTGCCATGCAAGTTCATCGCTACAGGCCACAATACGAATGCGACCAAGTTGTCCGACTATAGTTTAAAAGAATAGGTAGAATTTATTTTTAGCGCATATGTGCTTATTTTATTTTATTTTGTTTTATTTTATTTAAGTGATATTGTGCTATTGTGCTATTGTTATTATAGGTGCTTTCGGTGGCTCGCAAATGTGACAAGGTGTACGCAAAACAACAACACTATTTTCTCTATCTAGGCCAGTAGTTGTATACTGGCCACACACTTCGGTCAGTAAAGAAAAGAGTGTTACCAACGCATTAAGCGAACTATTGTGAACCTTTATGAGAAATTTCAACGAATCTTGCAATTATATGTCAAAAATCATATGTAAACAAAAATTCAAACAAAATTCAAATATTTCTTAAATTTGAAAACTGAGAAAAAAAAAAATTGAAAATATGTACATAAAAATCTTAAAAAATAATGAAAAAATCGTAAGAATAAAGCACATTAAATTTTTTAATATATTAGTTATAAACAAGTAACATTTTATTTACTTGTTAATAACTTGTTTTATTTCATTTTATTTAGGAAGTGTGCGAGTTACGCTAAGTTGCATTCTAAATGAAGGAAATACTAAGTTGTGCCGATAATGTAGTGATGTGTCGATACGTGTTGATATATGGTTAAATGTGTGCAGTGCAAAAAATCCCAAAAAATTTCCCACTTAGCCTAACTCGCACACGTCCTACATATTTAAATTTGTATTATTTATTTTATTATAAAATATCATAAAACGGTTCATAAACGGTTGAGTGATTCCGGAAGTAAAACATAGACAGCGCAATACATCATTATCTAGCCTCTCCTCAACAAGTCGACCGGTAAACCTTCTCGTGGCGAACCTGTTACCACAAATTACCGACGACGCGCCGAGCTAGGACCGGCGTAATAAATCCTCTGCCTGAAAATGCGAAAGCCGAAGGCACATTCTCAAAAATTTTCTTCCGTAAACTTTTTAACTTTCCAGTCATACCTGATGGCTCTGATGGCAGCCCCATCATCAGGTTAGGACAGAACGGGCCGACCATCTAAAAAATGAAAACCTGAACCCAAACTTAATGATGAAAAAACGCAACGAAAATGGATTACGATTTGGAACCTTACATTATGTTAAAACGCTATATAGCGCGGATTAACTGGCTCAGGCAGCAAAAATACTTGAAAATTACAAATTAGCCTTTATGGGCATGAGTGAAGTTAGATGGAACGCATGTGGACAAATTAGAACCCCAAAAGGTAACGTTATGTTTTGGTCAGGCATGCCAAATGAAAATGACTTACACCAATACGGTGTAGGAATATTAGTAAATGCTAAATCCCGCGATTCTGTGATAGACTACAAGTTTATAAATGAACGCATAATGATGATAAGATTAAAGTGTCGTTCGAAAAATATATTGATTATTCAATGCTATGCGCCTACTGAAGATGCCAACGAAAATGATAAAGACGCTTTTTATATTACAAGCTAAGCGTTGCAATTGCTGAAGCACCAAAGAAAGATTTTAAAATTGTGATGAGCGACCTTAATGCTAAAATTGGATAAGTAAATGAAAATTTAGACCACGTCATTGGGAAACATAGCCTTGGTGACATGAATGACAATGGCGAACGCCTTGTAGAGCTATGTGGTATAAATGAACTCAAAATTGGAAGCACGCTTTTTCCGCATAAAACAATACATAAAGTAACGTGGGTATCACCTGATATGAGAACACAAAATCAAATAGACCAATTTTATGTTACGGCAAAGTGGAGTAACTGTTTAATTGATGTAAGAAATAAACGAGGTGCCGATATCAGTTACGATCACCACCTACTAGTTGGCAAAATACTAGTCAACCCAATAAGAATTAAGAAGGCAGTTAACTGTAGCAGAATCAAACACAAGGTCTCTAAATTGCAAGCACCAAATATAAAGCAAAATTTTTCACGTTCCATTTCTGAAATAGTGTCTGCTCCTAATGACAACCTAAATCCCCAACATTGCTGGAACAAAATAAAAATGGCTATTAATGAAACCTGTATGGAAACCGTAGGTAGAGCGTCAAATAATACCAAAGACGTCTTCATCTCAGCATAAACTTGGATAATCATAGAACAACGAGCAAAACTCAAAAATGAAATAAATATCATGAAGAAGCCTAATGATCGAAAGAGAGTGCAAACGGAGTACACACATCTGAACAAACGTGTCAAAAGGGCAATTCGGGACGATAAGAAAGAATTCTCTAACAAAATGGCAAATGAAGCGGAAAATGCAGCGGCATCAAATAATATGAAAAGTCTCTTTGATGTAACAAAGCAACTAACAGGCGAGAGAGTCAAAAGAACCCTGCCTGTCAATAATCTCTCTGGTGAGCTATTGACAAACGTAAATGATCAGCTAAACCGATGGCGTCAACATTTTATTTATTTTATTTTATTTTATTTTATAAATATTGAACCTAGAACGCGAAAGTATCGTGATAACACAAAATGACAACGTAAATGAGTTACCGATTAGGGATGATCATCCCTCAAAAAGAGAAATAACTAATGCAATAAAACTGCTGAAAAACGGAAAAGCTGCAGGTCTTGACAATATTCCGGCCGAAGTGTTGAAAGTTGATTTGCAACTACAACGGATATCTTATACCCGCTCTTCAAAACCATTTCGGAAACAGAAACTTATCCTTCTGACTGGCTTCATGGCATTGTAATCAAAATACCCAAGAAAGGAGACCTAAGTGACTGTAACAACTGGTGCGGCATTACGGTTCTAAGTTCTGTGATGAAAATATTTATGAAAATTATTTTGGAAAGAATGGTAAAAGTTGTTGAAGTACTATTACGACCAGAGCAAGCGGGTTTCAGAAGTGGAAGATACTGTGTCTTAGTATTATCATAGAACAATCTATAGAGATGCGATTCCCCCTTTATCTGCTTTTCATCGATTTTGAAAAGGCGTTTGATTCGTTAAATCGAAATTGCATATGGGCAGAGTTGAAAAATAATGGTGTCCCAGCTAAAATAGTCTCATTAATTGCAAAAAGCTATGATCAATTTAAGTGCTCGGAGACCATTGAGCGCGTAAATGAATTCCAGTATCTAGGGAGTATTATGTCTGAAAATGGAGGTACAGCGCAAGATGTGATAAGCAGAATAAAGAAAGCCTTTGGTGCTTTTACAAGGCTTCGTAAAGTGTGGAGCTCCAATACCTATAGTTTAAGCACAAAGATAAAAATCACTAAAGCATGCGTTCTTTCAGTTCTCCTGTATGGTTGCGAAACCTGGTTTGTTACAGAAAACATAGAAAGCAAGCTGAGAGTATTTGTTAACCGCTGTCTCCGCAGAATTTTACGTATCTTCTGGCCAAACAGAATATCAAATCACGATCTTTGGACCAGAACAAATGTTAGAGATGTTAATCTTGAAATTCATAAAAGAAATTTGGATGGATCGGGCATACACTTCGAAAAGCTCCCACCGAAATTTGTCAACAGGCGTTGGTATCTACTACCTTGCGGGTTAGGTAGTCCAAAAACAACATGGAGAAGGTCAACGTTGAATGAAATAAACACCATTTTGCAGCCCCTATAAAGAAACATAAGCAACATTACAGACATAAAGGACGTAGCGTTACGGCGCGAAAGGTGGAAGCGGCTTATAGACAGCATATGCCCAATATAAGAGGCTGCTCGAAATCATGGACGTCGAGCAAGGCGTATTATTATTATTATTATTATTATTATTATTATTATTATTATTATTATTATTATTATCTTATATATAACATTTCCATGTCACAATGTTAGTTACCGTACTCCTCCGAAACGGCTTTACCAATTTTTACCAAATTTTATAGGTGTATTCAGTAGGTCTGAGAATCGGGTACTATCTATTTTTCATACCGCTAAAGTGATTAGGGAGTCCCTACCCAGCAAAAATATCTTTATTGCTTTGACAAAAAATTTTTTATTTTTTTGACATAAATGTTGTTTATATTTTTGAAAAAGAAAAATTTTTTTCTTAATATTTTATGTAACTACGCCAACAAGTACATCGAGCATTACATCCACTTCGTTTCTTCGTCTTCGCCTTGCATGGCAGATGGAAAATGTACTAAAAATTTTTCTAAAGATTTCACTAATGATACTATAACAAATACCGACGGATATCCAATATATCGTCGAAGAAATCCCGATAATGGGGGACAATGGCGGGTGGTGCCGTATTCGCCTCTGCTAAGCAAGACATACAATGCTCATATTAATGTTGAGTTTTGCAGTTCTGTGAAGAGCATCAAATATATAAGTATGTCCATAAAGGCAGTGATATGGCTGTGTTTAGAGTAGAAAATACTAATGTAAATGCTCCTCCAATGAACAAAAACGGTGAAATTACGCTCTACCAAATTGGTCGGTACATCAGCTCCAATGAAGCTGCTTGGCGTATCTTCGGTTTTCTAATTCATGAACGGGATCCAGCAGCTGTTCAGTTAGCCGTCCATCTTGAAAACGGTCAGCGTGTATTTTTCACGAACGAGACAGTGATTGATCGTGGTACAAATCCACCTAAATCTACACTCACTGCATTTTTTGAATTGTGTAATAGTACGGATGATTTTGGTGCCTTTGCAAGAACATTACTCTATTCACAAGTACCACGCTATTTCACATGGGCTCAAACAAAAAAATGGATGCCCCGCAAGCAAGTTTCACCAGTTGAT